CGACGCGCACAACCCCGCGCCCGCCGGCTCCGCACCCGGGGCCAGGGACCCCGACCCGGAATGCGCAGGCAGCCACACCCCGGAAAGGGACGTCGGAGGGCGGGGGCTCTGCGCCTCAGAGGCTGGGCCGCGTGGCCCTGGGCTTCTTCCTTGGTCTCGCGCCCCGCGGATTATTGGGGGTGCAGGACAGGAGCCATGAGTGCTGAGGCGACAGTGTCCTGGGGGAGGAGTGGTCTCGCCGTACTGTAGGTACTCAGCCGCACAGGGCGCCTTCTATGCACCCCATGCCCGCAGTTACACTATAACCAGACTCCTTCCCTCCGGGAAAGCTCAGTGTGACAGGAGGCCTGGCTGCCGGAGGGGCTAGAGCTGAGACCAGAGCAAGGGCTGCGCGTCCCACGCAAGGACCCCTCGCAGCGGCCACCATCCCAGCGCCCTTCTGCCCTCTAACCACGATCGTCCCTAGGAATAAACGGAGCTCTGAGACGGAAGCAAGAACAAGGGGTGTTATTGTTGACTGAGGGACCACTAGACCACGTGGGGAGGGGGACACTCGCCAGTCTGCAGGGTCTAGGCCTGGGTGGGCTCTGGGGACTCTGATGCTGCAGAGCTTCCAGGGGTGGGGTCTCCAGGGACGAGACCTGTGCGCCGGATGCCGGCTTGGTACTTCTGGCGGCCAAGCTCCAAGATGGCCCGAACCTCTTCAGCTATATCCCGCCGGTCACTCTGCTCCAGGGCCCGCACCAGGAGCCCCACAGCGCCAGGCTGCCGGGCCTGCCTCTCTGCCCAGGAGAACAGCATATGCCGGATCTGCCCGTCCAGGTCATCCCTGGGAGAGAGGGACAGTGCTGGCCCACCAGCCCTCCAGGGGCAGATTCCCTGCTCCCCAGGACAGGGGTAGCCAGACCCTCAGGCTCCAGTCCCCACCTCCCAGGGTGAAACCTCAACCAGGCACAGTCTGGTCCTCAGTAGCCAGGTCAAGCCAGGCCAGTGGCTGCTCACCGGAACTTGAATTGGATCTGCTGCAGCTCCCGATAGGGCAGGCCCAGGTGCAGGGCCACGGTGGGCCAGTCGGCACCCAGGCGCCCGGCCACACTCAGCAAGTTGCTCTGGGTCAGGAAGCCGTTCTCGGCATCACCCAGATTCAGAGGCGCTAGGGAGAGGCCGGCCCCGGGCCCTGGCCTCTGCCCCACAGACCCATGTAGTCTCTGTAGGGAGGAGGGGTGCATGTGAGTCCTGGCCCTGGCCCATGCCCCCCCCAACTGCCGGATCCCAGTCCACACCGGCAGCTTGATGGGCAGAGTGGCCATCCACAGGGCGTCCGAGCCCTTTTTCTGTCGGGCGGTCTCAGCCTCCTTGGGCACCTCGGTGGGCACTGAGCCCCGGTAGAAGGACACCTGGGGGGGGGGGACCAGGCAGATTCAGTGCTCTGGGCTCTGCCTCAGGCAGCCTTGGAGGTCCTACCCCGTTGCCCACCTGGCCCCGCACGGCCTGAGCCTCCCGGTCCAGGGCAGTGGTCACATACACCTCCTTCACGTTCTTCAGGTGTGAGTAGAACACAAAGCAGATCCTGCCCGCCACACAGTCTGGGCGCTCTACGGGCAGGGCAGGGCTCAGTGGGAGGGTGGGGGGCTGGGGAGCCCAGGACCCCCAGGGCAGGGGGCATACCGGCATCCACGTCAATGCCACCCTCAAAGGCAGCAAAGAATTTCTCGCCCTCAAACAGCTCCACAGTGTCTGAGGGTTCAGGCCCACGGTACCGCTCCAGCAACCGCTTCACGGTGGCATCCACCTGTCAGGCATCTAACTGAACCCCCGCCCTCCTCCCCCACGTCCCACCCTGCATCCCCAGCCCCCAGTCCCACCAGCCCTCCTGCACCCAGGCCTGGTCCCTGAGCCCCCAGCCTCCAATCCCCAGTCCTGCTGGCTCTCCTGCTCCAAGCCTGGCCCCTGTGCCCCCAGCCCCAGTCCCACTGCTGGCCCTCCTGCCCACAGGCCACACCCTGCACCGCACCTTGTTTCGGGGCAGGCATTGCAGCAGGACCTGCTCAGGGTCCCGGCGCCTCTGTAGCGCAATGAGGTTCACACGGTGCAGCCGCAGCCGTTCCCAGGCCTTACGTGCCAGACCACCCACGCAGGTCTTGGTGGTGTACCAGAGCCAGTACCTGGGAGGGGGCAGGGGTGAGGGAGAGCAGAGAGCCTAGGGATGCTGGGAAGGTGAGGAGGGGCACTGACCAGGAAAAGTGTGTGACCTGGAAGCGGGCATACAGGTGTGTGAGCTCCAGGGCCACCTGAGTCGTGATGTCATCCCAGGTGGCCGAGGGAAGGGCCAGGTACAGCAAGTGTAGGCGGGAGCGGTCCAGACTCAGGCCTGGGCACAGGGGAGCAACAAGCTGAGGCCTCCCGGCAGGGCAGCCCCTCCAGCACTGCCCGATCCGGTCCACGCCACCACCGGCACTCCCTCACCTGTGACGCCCGGGGGCAGAGGCAGCTGCACGGTGACGGGCCGGAGGAAGCTGGGGGCGCTGCTCTGCCAGAGGCACAGGAGGGGGCTGACCGCCGCCTCGGGCTCCCCCAGCAGCTCCCGCAGCTTGTGGCTGGACATGTGCACCACCTGGGGACAGCCCGCTTGAGTGCCCCAGAGTGGCCGAGGCCCCAGCCTCCGCCTCTGCATAGCCCTGCCTATACCTGCATTCGGACCCGGTGCCCATACCTGCATTCGGACCCGGCGAGGCTCCTCGGTGGCGCCCTCCGGGAACGTGACCCTAACTCCAGGGTGTCCAGAAGAGTACAGCAGTGTCCCCTCTGGTGGCACCAAGCAGGTGTCAGACATGGGGCGGGAAACCACGAGGAACCAGGAGAAATGGAGCACCTGGCAGTGAGCCCAGAGCCGCTGGGGCAGGGGTGTGAGAGAGGAGTCAGCGGGGAGCTGCTGGGGCAGGAGTGAGGGGAGAGGGGTCAGAGGGGAGCTGCTGGGGCAGGGGTGAGGGATCAGAAGGGAGCTGCTGGGGCAGGAGTGAGGGGAGAGGGGTCAG